TGTGAGACAGGAAGGTTCCTGCTCTGTCTGTACTCATTCAAGCTAGGCAGCCCTGATGGCTGGGGATGGTCACCCCCTTTGAATTTACATTATCACACACATTAGGCTGTTGTGTGTAAAGTCTATAGAGTGAAGAAAAACTTTGCAAAGTTGCTGTTAGTTGTTAACCTGGTAGAACAAATTAGTCTTTAACCATCTTATTGAGAAGACATTTTACTTTGATATGCTAAAGAAAATTGTTGCATTAACTGGTGCCTCAAAGTCAGAAAATGCTCCATTCATGAGGCTGGTTTCCAGGCTCAATAATTACAAATATGGCATGGAAGACACACTTTGTCTGCTGCTATTACACTCAAATTGCAGCGTTTTAATTGCTAATTACCTGACAATAGCTTTCCATTATTCATTGCAATTAGCTTTTCCTTGGTGGTCACCTTGTAATCCCACGCTTTGATGACCTTTTATTTCTATCAGCTCCAAGGATGTCGGCAGGTGTTGTCGGGCGCGCTGCTTTCATATGGTAATCGCTTAGCGCCCATTTACATGGGGAACCACGCTTTGCATCATTTGCGAAACCTTGAATGTGCGCAAAACCCCTTAAACACATAACGATCATCTAAAACAATGCCCTTCCCCTCATTGTCAAATGATTAATTAAGTTGTGTCATGTAATTGCCTCAGCTCGCCGGCTGCGTTTGATTTCAATGAAATCCCTAGGACTTACTTTCCCCATTAAATAGTGTTAAGACGGTGTCTCTCCAACATCTGCATTGCGTCGAAGGCCTTCTGCAGATCTTGTCAGAAATAATAGGAGGGTTTTGGAAACATGATGCTGTTGATTCTGCCCTGTCACAAGGCTCGGGCTGTCTTCATTATGTGGCCCTTCAACGTTGGTATGTATGCAAAGCATCCTCAGCATACACATGCTGTCTCTGAGACTGTGTGTGTGTGTGTTCAGTGTGGTGTCATAATTTATAACACGCTGCAACTTAATGAAGCCATAAGCCATAATGCATATTCACTAACGTGGTGGGCTGGGCTGGGATGGGCTGTAGTGATGAGTGCCCAGCCGCTACAAATTTACAGTGAGTGCTGACAGTGTGCACGTTCGTCTGCACACACACACACACAGACCTCATGAGTGTCAGAGTCGTTCAATAGAAGACTTCAGCCTATTTAACTGAACTACTAACAGACTGAGTAATTTTTTAATTTTGAGGGTTTTTTTTATTAAACAAATAATTAACCCATTCTTGTTCACAGTTACAAATTACAAATACATTAAATATGTATTACATTTGATATTGTCCAATATTAAGTTAATAATGATTGAAAAAAATTACATTGTATTAGTAATTAAAAACATCACTAAAATGAGAAACAAGTTATTATTAAATTACGTATCATAACCTTCTAGATTAAAGTTTTGAATATTATTTTCTAACAAAGGCATGTCTAGTAACACTTGCCATAAAGTTGCAAGCACATAATTATTTTAGGTGATTGTTTAAAATTAAATTAAACATTATTTATTATTTTATACAAAGTTAATTAGTGCAGTTTCATTAATTGGACTAAGGACAGACTAAATTGCTGGATTATTGTCTTGTATCATGTGTTGTTAATTACACAATATTTACATGAAACATTTGTTGACAATATTTATCGTCCATAAATACTTGTTTGGGTTCAAATACAAAATACATTTTATCAGTTTAAAAGAAAAAAGTTGATACATAAAATTCACCAGTTAATAAATATTAAAGGTCATCCAAAAATTTTTACTGGTCAGACATGTTGGCATTCACTTTCACAGTATTACAAAATTATGAATTGTTTAAATTGTTAAAGCTTTTAATTTTTAAAAAAGTGCTATTTTTTTATTTTTTTTATAATTTACTAAATAAGCAGGTAAATTGCAGATTAGGTTGGGGGTTAGTAAAATTACAACTATATACTGAAATTGTATGTATGTATGCTGTACATATCTAAAATCTGTGAAATCCTTGTCTGGTATTGTATGTGTTAAATGACAGCAGTACATTGTTTCATCCGGAGTGTAAAAATGTAATCTGTTCTGCTAGGGCGGTCCCTTCTCCTCCAATAGCTCCATTTGTTGGTCCCGGCGCTCTATGCTGACAGATGATAGCTTGAAGTCGTCTCCTTAGTTTGCCAGCTCTATGTGTCACTTTCAAGTCCCATTAGCCACTGGGACATACTGGAACACCCTCTCACACGTACATGCGCAAACACACACACATGCACACACACTTTTCCAACTGCTGTCAGTGCCCTCAAACCAATGCTTAAGATTTCTCTTCCACATTCAATTCTCCTTTCACCATTTTACACTTTGGGTGCTCGCTGTAGATTGTTGTGAAAGATTTTTTGTTTTGATTCATTGTAAGTGTGTTTCATTGAGTGTCGTGTCAGATACACTTATCTCTTCCTCTCCCATTCTCTCTCTTTCTCTTTCAGGTTCGGAGCACGGTCAACAGGATCAAGGAGAGGAGAAAAGCGCTTAATTTTTCAGTATGTAATCCTCTTTTCCTGTGAACAAGTGTGTGTGTGTTGTGGTGTGGGGTGTGTTGGTGTCGAGTGATGTGTCTGTGTCTCGTGCGTGTGTGTCGTGTGTGTGTGTGTGTGTAGTGCTGTGTGGTGTGGGGTGCTGTGTGGTGTGTGTGTGTGTGTCTGAAACACACCAGTGCGACAGACTCAATTTTCCTTACACTCAGTCCAGCATTGCCAATGAAAGCTGGCCACAAAACAACATTGTACATCTGCTAGCCTCTCACTAGTTGACAGTCCATGTTAGATGCCCTTATACATCAAACATAGACCCTCCGTAATAGCTCCCCCCAGTCCTCACTCTGTCCACTGCAGCACCTTCATCCCAGCAATGTCAGGCTCTGTGGTGGGTTACAAGTTTCTAATCCCGGACAAGCAGTCCCCTGACATTAAAGTGTCAAGCCAGTATTTATACCTTGTTGGATGCTGCTGTTTGGCTGAAGTGGTAGGATGCTGCGCGTGTGTATGTGTGTGCAAATGTTTGTGTGTGTGTGTGTGCCTAGGAAGATCATAGCCCATGCAAAGCACTTTTAAAAGTACTTAATAGTCTCTAGCACACACAAACAGGCACATAACACACACACATACGGACAATTATAGACCCTAGCACCTTGACAAACACCCACTCTCATCATTCCACACTCCTATGCCCTCGCCATCTCACATACACACACACAAAATCTCCTGTCCCTTATGAGTGATCATATTAACTCCTCTTTGGCCTGTAACATTTTGTCCTGCCCCTCCCACTGCACCCTGACCCAGACATATGTACCCCCCAATATTCCCCACCCTTACGCACTTGGAAGGAATGAAACCATTTTTGACGGCAGATTGATTTTTAAAATACCTGGGTGCCCCTACTTCCTTTTGACCCCCCACCTCAGA